ATCCAAAAGGCAAAGGACCATGAAGGAAAACATGTGGGAGCACTCAGCTTCACTGACAAAGATGTGAGTTGTTTGAGTAAAAAGTCAGAATTCTGAGATTGAAGTCAGAATTTTTTGAAAAAAAAATAAAAAATAAAATTTAAAAAGTCAGTTAAATTTTATTTTTCCCATGCCCCTAATCTTCTTCCGTAGTTTAAAGCCATCTTTGTGCTAAAAAATTAATGAAATTAAATTTTATATTCCTTATTTGTAAATCTACCTCCCTTATCAACTTAAAACTAAAATAATATTTGACTAAAATTGTAGTTGCCCACACTGATCAGCCCAAATAAACCTAAAGAAAAATCCACTTGGCTACACTGGTTCAATGTGGAGGAGTCATGTTATAACACTATATAAAACCAACTGTCAAGCTTGGTGGTGGTACCATCATGCTAAGTACCTGTTTTGCTGTCAGTAAAACTGCTGCTTTTTACAACGGGGGGTGAAGTACCTCTAAATTATTCGATTTCTCATCAAATCAATAGCTAGGTGGTTGAAACTTGGACACTGTTGGATGTTCTAATGGGGCAGAGATCCTAAACACACATTAAAATATTTACCCAGCTAGAAATACCCGATTCACTTCCAGGAAACTAAGCAGGTAAATGGAATTTGACCAGTTTGGGTCATATATTAAACCAGAAATGTGCAAAATGCTGGAGCCAAATGTTACTATGGATTTATCCAAACCATGATTTTACATGATTTAGGGGGAATCTGGGACAACCATTTCTTGCAGAGTTGCATTCTTTTTTTTTTCTTTTTTTTTAACCCAGCTTCATGTTGACAATTGTTGTATTGTATTTATAAAGGCAATGATTATTTAGGTAGTTTTCTTTTTTCCCTTTAAATTAAATCCTCTATATCTTTGTCTGGTTTTATGCATTGATTTTTTTTTTTTTTGGCCTTCATATATATTTCATAGTTTTTCCCAAAAATACATTTCAAAGACATCCTTATTCCCCCCAGATGTATATACGGTAATAATTAACGCCCATGCTTAGTGTATGTTAACATTTTCTTGGTGCTACTTATCTGGAAAAATATATAAAAAATAAAGCATATAAATAAGATAAATAAAAAATAAAGAATATCTTGGATATTAAAAGGAAAGCAAAAAAATGTATTCATATTTGGTTTTATTTGGTTTCACCTTTGGCTAAATGAACAGATTAACATGTTGGACTTCTTCTCGTTTGAAACAACCTTTATGTTTGTTAATATGAAAGAAGAAATTTCTCCAAGCAGAACACATGATCACTTTGATCCATCAAAGAAATCAACACATTGTGCAAAAACTGCATTAAATCATCAAGCAGCAAATTATTAAATCTTTTAAGGAACAATTTGTCAAAAAGTTTTGATCTTCACAGAAGATAATAGGAGGGTCTGTTCAGCAGTTTCTGGAGCTGAAGTGAATGAAGAAGGTCCTGATCTCTTTGGGTGAGATGGTGACGGTGAAATCTTTACCCACACTGCTCCCATGCTGTTCATTCTCTAAATAAAGAAAAGAAACATTTCATTGAAGCAGACATGCATCTCAGTCACTGAGCAGGACGTTTCTTTCATGTCACGTTTACAGCATTCCTTACTTTTTCCAAAGTTATCAGCAGTTTTCCACTTCCACCTTTGCAGACTGGTGATATTCCAGGTTCCTGTCAGAGAACGCTCCTCCAGGTCCCTCACCTCCCCTAAACCCTTCAAAACATCCTGAATGCCAGAGGAATGAAAAAAGGAAAACAAGAGTTTAAGAACGAATGTCCATACATCACAGCTGGCTTATGTTACAGGTATCTGACTCAAGCTGGCAGATCAGAGCTAAATTGGACACCGATCACATTATTTTTTTTATTGATTTATTGAATGGACTGAATCTGATCATCTGCATTGAAATATACTTAAAGCGGTCCGTGTGTTTATTCTACACGGAAATACTATTTGCTAAAATATCTTTATTCCTTTTGTGAAGAAAACAGTGAAAACTTTTGCTTTTTCCAACTTTAGATTGAGACAACCAGAAAAAAAAAAATCACAGGTCAAATTATTCTAAACTGATCACAGATGCTTAAAAACACAATTTAATGCTGTGACACCCATAGAGAAGCTTAGTTTATAATATGTAAAAAAAAAAGATTTCTCTTTTTTAGTTCTTATGCTACCCCCTATCTGAGTGGCATCCAGGACAAAGAGCCATACTTGATATAAAATGGAAATGAAATTAATTAATTTCAAATTGTTAAATTGATTGTATTTTTTTTTTTTACTATTTTTAAGTAACTTGTATTCATCTGTCTGAATCCCATTTATGTAGAAGCAGTTTTTACTGCAATAAAAGCTCATCCATAAAGGCCAAATCAACACATTTTTCTACCTGAGCTGTGGATTTCTGCAGCTCCTCCAGAGTTACTACTGAACTCCTAAACGCTTCACTGCCTCATTAATGCTCACCTCACTTCAGTCACTTTTAGTGGAGGTTATGTTTGACGATGTGCTTTACTCTTCCTTTTCATTTGATGACTTAGACGAAAGGATACTAGAAGCTGTTCTCTGTTTAGCAGTGACAGATTACAGAATTTCAATTGTGAAAAACGTTGGTCATTGTTTTCCTTTTTAAAGTGACCTTGTCTTGAAATTACAAAACATTGGAAAGTTTAAGCGACATCAACAGATCTACACCTTTTCTTACTATCTACATCAGTACCTTGAAGTTTACGGTGACAGGCTTGGAGAGCTCGGGGTCGTCGCCCTCCTCATACAGATGCATTACTCTCAACAGAACCCGATCGTAGTCTGGCTCAGAGTCCACTTGCTTACCTGTTTTAAATTTCCCACACAAATAAATACATCAGAATATAGGAAAAGCTGCAGATGCATCATTCTGTTCCATGGTACCTGAATGTAGGTGGCTGATGTGCAGATCATGATTGGAGCTGTAGTTCCATCCTAGGATGCTGAGGCTGAGCAGGTGGAGGTTAGGAGGCAGAACAACTGGAGGGATGGGAGGGTTAAAGCTGGGCTCTTTTCCAGTCCATCTCTTCCCTAAGCAACAAGATACCAGTGATTTGTTTACACAAAGATGCAGAGAGGAATTACCTGGTAATGCAACTGAATCTCCTGACCAGAGAAAAATTTCACAATCTGACTTTTTTTTTAAAGGGTAAATGAACCTCCCTAAGCTCTACCAGACAACCCAGAGGGAAAAAAAACGCATCTTACAAAGAGGGAAAGCCTCACAGGTACTAATGTGGACAAAATTGTTAGTCAAAAAAATAACTTAAAACTGACAAAAGTAAGAATAAACAACACTGTCTAGAATTTTGTAATCAGTCAGGGGGTCTATAAATAGGGCTACAGGGAGTCACTGTGCTGTTTGGGGACATGGTGTATATCACACTCAACATGGAACAGGAAAACGACTATTCTGGCCTACTGTGACCTGACCTAAATCCTACTGAGCATCTTTGGAAGGAGCTGAAACATGAAGTCTGGAAAAGGAATCTAAACCTGAGACACCTGGAGCAGTTTGCTCATGAGGAGTGGGCCAAAATAGCTGCTGACAGCTACAGGAATTGTTTGATTGCAGTGATTGCCTAAAAATGGGATACGATTAACCAGGCCTTCATTAGTTTATTTTTTCAAATCATTCTGATGAAGCATGGTTGAAAAGCAATGTCTGACTTTCATTTCTTCATTTTCACAGAAATCTTATTTATTATTACTTTGGTCAGATTTAAGTTATTTCTGTGCCCATCGTTCGTTTTGTCTTTCATTAAATGAGAGGTAATATCTAATATCTGGGTGTTTAAAAAGGAGATAGAGGCTTTTCAAACAGATAATTTTCTAGAAAAAATTAAATTAAATTGTTTTAAGTGAAGAGAGAGAGCATGATTTTTAGGAGATAACACGAAGGCTTAAAGAATTACAGCAGTTTCTCTGTTTTATAGTTAGCTGTCTTTTGAATTAATAAATGAAACATTCTGAAATGATGGCAGCCTTCTGAGAATCGTAAAGGAAAAGACCCGTGACCCAAACTACCGGTTGAGTACATAACTTTTCTACAATAACCATGTGTATAATAAATACCAGTGCAAAATCTGAGCTTTATCATCATTTCATCTTCATTCTCTTTTAAAGAAGTAAAACCCTGACTCACAGCAACTGCTTACTCACATTAGAGATGACATTACTTTTATTATTCTATGTCAACAAAAGGGACAAGTGTAGATACTGTAAACATATTTAGAACGTTATTGTTATATAATTTTTAAGCCCTTTAAAAAGTTTTAAGAACTATTTCATTTAAAATTTTCATATACTTTGTAACAGATGTCTTTACATAGTGGAGGACGTTAGTCATGAAGTCCCACAATGAAGTTGGCTTTAGGTTTGAAGGAACATTTCACCTTATTTTTGTGTATTTGGCCAAACTTAGCACTATTTTAAAATGCTTTAAGAAAAACTAGAATGTATACAAGTTCGTTAGATTAAAGTCTGTGGCACCTCTTTGACAGCCTAAGCCACCACATCCAGTTTACAACAAAATTAAGTTTAAAACTAAGATCTGGGGGGGGCTATAAAAAGAGAAAACTGACTTTATATTCTAAACGATGCTCAATCAGTAACACAAACCCCAAACTGTTACTGAGTTGAACAGTAGGGATGTCCCGATCCGATGTTGATATCAAATTATAATGGTCTGTGTCTAAAATCTGATATTATCATGCTGATTAAACACTCTGCTTCTCTCTAAGGTTTATGTAACCAGTGGTTAATAATCAAGGCTCAGTTCTTATACCTGTCGTTGTTGACAATTGTTTTCTTAGTAATATCACTTGTTAAAACCCTTTTTTTATTACTATTCCACACCACTAAATAAATAACAAAATTATGTTTTATTTGTGCCTATATCTTATCCTGTCAATAAATACAGTGAGGAAAATAAGTATCTGAACATACTGCTATTTTGCAAGTTTTCCCACTTAGAAAGCTACAAATAAGTATTTGAACATTTGTCTATCAGCTAGAATTCTGACCCTCAAAGACCTGTTAGTCTGCCTTCAAAATGTCCACCTCCTCTATTCATAATCCTAAATTAGATGCACCTGTTTGAGGTTGACACCTGTCCATCCCATACAATCAGTAAGAATCCAACTGCTAACATGGCCAAGACCTAAGAGCTGTTAAAGGCACTAGAGACAAATTGTGCACCTCCACAAGGCTGGAAAGGCTACGGGGAAATGGCCAAGCAGCTCATGAAAATAGTCCACTGTTGGAGCAACTATTAGAAAATGGAAGAAGCTAAACATGACTGTCAATCTCCCTCCGACTGGGGTCCAAGCAAGATATCACCTCCTGATGCTACTACCTCTCTGCTGTGAAGCATGGGAGTGGTAGCATCATGCTTTGGGGGTGTTTTTCTGCACATGAGACAGGGCAACTGCACTGTATTAAGGAGAGGATGATCTGGGCAATGTATTGCCAGATTTTGGGGAACAACCTCCTTCCCTGTGTTAGAGCATTGAAGATGGGTCGAGGCTGGGTCTTCCAACATGACAATGACTCAAAGCACACAGTCAGGATAACCAAGGAGTGGCTCTGTAAAAAGCATAGAAAGTTTTTGTGTGGCCTGGCCAGTCTCCAGACCTAAACCCTATAGAGAATCTTTGGAGGGAGCTCAAACTCTGCTTCTCAGCAACAGCCGAGAAACCTGACTAATGTAAAGAAGATCTGTGTGGAAGAGTGGGCCAAAATCCCGCCTGCAGTGTGTGCAAACCTGGGGAAGAACTACAGGAAACATTTGACCTCTGGATTTGCAAACAATAGCTACAGTACCAAATATTAACATTGATTTTCTCAAGGGTTCAAATACTTATTTTATTATTATATTTTTATTTTTAGATTATGTCTCTCACACTGGACATGCAACCATGATGACTATTTCAGACCTCTCCATCTAAGTGGGAGTATAAAATGTTTAAACAATCTGTAATTTCGCAAAGATTTTTTCTTATTTCTCCGTTCTGATCCAGACTTGGAATATGACCAAATGTCACTGCTTTCCACACTGCTAAAGAGGAAATTCATTAAAAATCAGCACCAGCAGATCAGCATTTTCGCATATAACTAAAAGGTATTTACCAGGTTGGTCTATTGACATGACCACTGGCCGATGCTGCAGCTCTACCGCCCCCCTCTGGTACAGCTTGGAAGTTGTGCTCACAGAGCCCAGCATCATCCAAAGCGTGGGCGTCACGACCGAGCTGTCGTTTAGCGTCAGGTTGTAGCCAAGGTTCCACTGCAAGTTGTTCCAAAGACGGCGATGGAGCATCACCTGAAAACAAAACAGAAAATTCATTTGTGATTGAAATCGCTCTCTAGGTGTTCATTGCGTGGTTTTTATTACCTCAATCTGTCCATCAGCCTGGCTGGACACGCCGTGGGCTCTGTCGCTGAGCAGCACCAGGCGGCTGAGGTCATCCTGGATGTAGGCCGCTCGGACCATGGGGAAATAATTCTGCAGACAGGAAACCGGAACATTTTAACGAAGAAAACCCCAAATCTGAATGATCCATCAGCTGGTGAAATGCCTTACCCTTGCTAAGGTGTTATTGGGGAATTTCTTGTAGGTTCTCTTCATCATTTGGTAGCCGTTGTCATCAGAGTACAGAGTCTTGTTGTTGTTGAGGGAGGAGCTGGTTCTGAGGACCACCTCTGTGTTGAGGCGCAGGGGGCCCAGAGAGTAGGTCTGCTCCAGTCTGTGGCAGGGAGCTCCGGCCCCAGAGTATTCTGGGACACGGGTGGTGATGGAGTAGGCGTAGTCCTTATCGCCTTCCTCTCTACGGCATCAAATCGGATTTTCTTATTTAAACAGAAAGTAAGATCCAATGGTGGTTAGATCCAAACTCCGGTCACCGACCTGTAGAAGCGCTGCCTGATCTCAGTGAGCACCCTCCCTGGGACGATCTCCATTTCCACCGCTTCGTAGGCGCGAGAGGCTGAGCCGTTAGCGCTGAAGATGTAGTTATCGGAGATGGGTCCCGCTTCCACGTCTCCGTTGGCGTTATATTCCCAGAAATCCTGCGTCACCATGACTTGCCTTCTCTCCTGTCTGCCAGGGAAGAAAAACAGGCCAAATACCAGAGGTCTTTATTAATACCGCATTTATATAGTTAAAAAATTAAGTAAATTAATTACCAAAATTGTCACTTGCTTAAAAAAAATTAATAAATAAAAAATGTGGTTCTATAAGAAGTACGGTGGCCCTGAAGTGCAAACCACATCAACAAATCTTTAAACACAACTTTTTTAGTTGTGTTTAAACAACATATATTCAAAAAATTTTTCAAAAATATCAAATATTCAAAAACACTTTAAACATTAGACTTCACTGATTGGACGACGGCACCATTTGGCTTTTAAACCTGGAAGTCATTTTGATTAATCTCGCTCAGAAAGCCTATGAACGCTGTCAACCAATCAGCGAGCTCTCAGGTTTCCCGCTACCATCTACCTCATCCTGTAGGTTAATGGGATTCAGAAAATGTTGTGTAATTAAAAATGTTTTTGTATTTGTATTCATTTACAGATCAAAATGATCAAAAAATTGGTAGAACCTGAGTTTAACAAATAAAAATGATGCTCACAATGGTGGAGGACCCGTCATGCTGAGGGCTTTCTTTATAGTCTTAGTGTGCTAAAGAAGTTTTGATGTCAGAAAACTGATGCATTATCCTCTGACATATTAAGGGGCCTCCACTGAAAAGATTAGCTTGGATGCTTGATACCCACAGGTAGGTGGCGCTGTGCAGCAGGTTGGTGTCCTGGTCAAACATGAGTTTGTAGCAGTCATTCAGTATAGGCAGAAGCCGCCTCCCTGTTTTCTGCCAGTCCCTCACACGCCGCCGCTCGAACACAACTCCCTGGGCTTCGTAGGTGCGCTCACACTCGGACCTCCCAGAACACGGCGCCTCAGAGAACCGAACGGAGTACTTCCTGTGCTGAAGGCCGGCGAGCTGAACCACAAAGAAAAGGTCGTAGGTGGAGTTGGACTGCGCCGACCGCTGGATCTGCAAAGCAGATAAAGAGAGAGAGGCTTGATTTTAGAGCACGACGGACAAACTAATGAAGTCTAACAGGAGGAGGCACTGACAGACCTGCGCAGGGACAGGCTGGCCATCATCGTCATGGACGGCTGCACTGGGGAACATTACGGTGATGTTAACAATAGCTGTGACGTTCCACGCCAAAGGGTTGTAAATAATCAGGTGCTGCTCCTGAGCCTGATCCGCACCTAAAAACAGGGACAGATAGAAAAACTGACACTGAATTCTTCCAAGCAGATCAGAGAGATTTATATGAAGCATAAAGACAAGAATCGGGTGATTATGTATGAATTTAATGCAGAATTTCAGGCTCAGAATAGTAAATAAAAAGGCAGCAACAATACCTGCTTAAATATCCCTAAAAATCTGGGGGTTTTTTGCCTTTTAATAGCTTCAGGTGAAATATTTGAGCAGTGTGCACCACGGAGCACAGCCTGGGTGCAAACCCTGCTAGAATACTGTGTTTAATGATGATCATAGCCGCTTCTTTAAATCTAACAAAAATAGAGTCAAAAATTGTTAGATTGGATTTATAACTAATAATTTTTAATTAGCAAATAATTAAAAGTAACTGAGCACCTTTTACTCTTACTAAGTACCTTTTTTGCTTTTACGCCAATGCATTTTTAAAAGGGTACTTTTACTTACTTATACCAATTTGTCCTTACTTTTTCCACCTCTGCCTACCACTTGTTGAATTTGAATATTAGAACAATGAGTTATGACGAGATTTGAAAATTAAAACCCAAGACATTAATCCACCTTCTCCATGGGGGTTCCTTCTAGGAACGGCCTGGTTATGCGGCAGCAGGAAAAGCGCGGCTAAGAGCTCCTCAGCTCCCATCATGGCCTGCAGGAGGTGCTCCATGTACATTTCTGCCACTTTAGGAGACTCAGTACCGGTGATGCCATCATGGTGCTGGACCTGCAGTGAATCACAGCATGTATTGGTAATCATTTCCTTATTGACGGCAAATGAGTGGGAAAAAATGGACCCTGTGGACACATCACCTCTGAGACTGCCCAGCGTAGAGCCCTGAGTTTAACCAGAGCCCAGGGTTTAGCTACTGGTCCATCCGGGTAGCTGATCCGGTACTGGGTGAAGAGTGTCTCTGCTGCGTGCAGCTGGGAACTGGCCCGCCGTGCCACTCCCTTAAGGACATTTCTAGAAGCATAAAACCCCGTCCATGCCTGGTAGGGCTCTGTGAAGATAGCAAACATAGTTTCTGTGGGAGTTTTTTCTTTTTTGGTACGTTAAACACAACTTCCAGGTTTTAAAACAATTTTCAACCTTGGAACCTTTCCAGAGTCCAAAACCGTCATTCTTAAATATAAATTAATTAAGATCTACAAATTTATGGAAGGTATAGGAATTATAGGGACGAAATAACAAAAAATCTTTCGTTTTCCAGACATTTTTCCTTCTTCTAGAACAAAGACTCCTTTACATGACCCACCTGTTGAATATGGCAGAAAGTCCTCACTTCCACGGACGGCCCAGGTAAGATTTGATTGGTGGACTGACAGGAAGTACTCGCTCAGTGTTGCATATTGGACCGTTACTCCGAACTCCTTGCTGTTCTGGTTGATGTACGTCATCAGAGGGTCCATATTTCTGAATTGAACTGATGAGTTGTAAAACTGTTTGTCGCAGCCCTAAAGAAAAAAAAAAAAGAGAGAGATAGCATTCAGAAAATAAAATGCTTCCCAGGATTAAAATCCTAGTTTCCTTTACCCACCCATGGCCAGAGCAAATGGTTGGTCCTGAACCAAGCAGCCCTCTGCTTGATGTTCTCCACCATGGTCTCAGCGTACGAACGCATCGTCTCCTTGGTGACGGGGAGGCTCATGTTGGGGTAGACTCCGTCCTTAGGGGGGTCTGGGAACAAAGCTACACCGTTCCAGTAGAAACCAGATCTGAGGAGGGAAAAAAACAAAACAAATGCATATATATATATATATATATATATATATATATATATATATATATATATATATATATATATATATATATAAGCAAAACCCAGAGTGTTTCTCTAACTCACACACTTTAAACATAACATTTTTACATTTATATATTACATACTGGTAGAATTATGCAGTAATACAGCTTTCTTTAAAAGAAATATCTGAACAGTGTGGAATAGAGGAAAACAGCTGACAGATGTGGGAGGTAGAAACACAGGATTTCCAAATAAAACTTGCTTTTTTATATTTCACAGATTTCCTTTCAATCGAACATCTGAAAAAGAAGAGCATGGCACAACAGCAAAGCTAACGGCCATCTATGTAGCTTTGTAAGAAACACCGGTCTCAGTGTCAGGAAAAGAAATACTATTTTGGCCTTGAATTAATAACAAAAAAAAGTTTGTAGAAACCTGGTAATTCACATTCCCCCTGAAAACACCAACCTTACAGTCAAACACGGCAGTGGCAGCATCATGCTGTTGGATGCTTAACAGTCAGAGTTGATGGTGGTAAACTTAGTAGAAACCCTCATGCTGCGTTCAAAGCAAACGCATTTTGGAGCGTATTTTGGGGTCAGGCGCTCAGGATGCCCAAAGCTCATGTTGTTTAGCTGCTCTGTTCCGTCGTTGCATCTAGACAGTGGCTGGACTTTATTTGCTTTGATGAGTTTGAAAAAAACAACATATTTTTCTAATCCAGTTTTGGACGAAGAAGTCTGCCCCAAAACTTTATTTATAAACTATTTCAGCACAGTTTAGTAAGAAAATGTTTTAGTGGAGTAAAAATGATCCAATAATATTTATTTATTTTATGAATTCATATGCTATCGGCTCTTAGAAGCCATTATGGCTTGCATGTAGTGTCCGTCTTTCCTAAAACTTGTGCGTTAGCTTTTCTGATTGATCGACGCACCGCGTCAAGCTAAAACTTCCAGCGTCAAACCATGAGACGTGACACAGGTTGGTCTGAATGCACCATTAGAGGCTTTGGACAAAGGAGGAGGAGCAGACCTAAGCAGGACCTCCTCAGCTTCGCCTCAGCTGCTGTCACAGTTGCCTAGAAACGGGGTTTCATCTTCCAGAAGAACAGCAACCATATTCATAAAGCTTAATTGGTTTAGATTGAAGTAATGATTTTTATGATTTTAAAAATGTACGGAATCAGTGGGAGTGGATACAAATGGATGCCACACATTTCAGAGTCTTATTTATAAATGAAACGTTGAAAACCCTGAATCCTGCTCCCTCCATTCGCCTTTGTGTTGGTGGGTGACACTGAATTAAAGCATTACAGGTTTCTGATAATCAGAAGATGAAATAAATCCCCTACTACCTGTTGGAGAACGGCAGGTGAGATGGAGTGCAGTAGCTGTACTGGTCCATGGTGTGAGTGAAGATCTCCTGCTGGGCTTTCAAAGATGGAGAACCTCTCCACACAAACTGCATTTCCTGCAGTCATAGAAAATCCCCACTGAGTAAATCATCTCCCTCCCCCTGCAATCACAGCACATAGCCGTCCAGCAGCACCTTCTTTTTCTGCATGCTGTCTTTGAGGTCGTAGTCGATGCGCGAGATGAGGTGAGCGTTGAACCCGGCCAGGGAGAACAGCACCGGCGTAGCAGCAGAGGCTCCGAACGGATCCACGTGCCAGGAGAACTGCGGCCGCACGCCAAACGTTTGGTACAAAAAGCCGTGGCCCTCTGAAACGACAGCAAGGTCACAAGGCAGCGAGGGTTATCGGCTGCAAAAAACTGCGAGGGACGTCAGCTGACCCGTCAGCTGCAGGATCTCATCCTCCAGGTCTGTTACGGCCTCATCGTGCATCACTTGGCCTCCGATGATGAACTCCAGCCGACCTTCTTTCACTAGCTGTCGGACCTAGACGTTCAAATTTATAGGACAGAAAATAAAGAAACGCAGAAATTATTATTCCAACACTGATTTAAATCCACCGAAGAAAGCTTTCGGACCATAGACATGCAGCCAACGCTTCCCTGAAGTGTATGAAATAACAGAGATAGGAGGTTATTTAATATGAGCCACTTCTACATTGTAGAGGCTGCATATTGTAAGACAAATGTTTTTTTTTTTTTTTTCTGGTACTCCAGCTTCCTGCTATAATCTAAAGCAGGTCATAGAGGGCCGCTGTCCTGCAGGTTTTAGAGGTTTCCCTGCTTTAGCACAGCTCATTCTGATGATTGCAGTTCATCAAAAGTCTGTTAATAAGTTAATCAATGGAAATCAGCCGCGCTAAAGCAGGGAAACTTGCTGTAAATATGTTTAAATTGCTTTCAAGGAAACATGTGTATTTACAGTTTTTTTTCCCAACTTCACCATTAGGGACCCTGACAAACAGGGTTATTTTGTTGTTGTCATGGTTGCCTAGAAACGGACTCCCCTCACCTATGCTCTCTGTTTACATCTGATTCTCAGCCACTTCCTCCTCAGAAGGAAACGCTTTTGAAAATACAGACGAAAATGGAAGAAGGAAATCCTCGGCTGAACAGTGAGGACGAGGAAAATTATAAAATATGTTGGGATGTCAGGGAGTGTTTACAGTGACGCACAGCTGACCATTAATGGCTCAGGATTCAGCAGAAACTCAAGTATCAGTCCTTCATACCCAGACAGTCTCTTCATACTGGTTCGGTACAGAATATTAGAAAAATACCAGGATTCTGTTGATTGTTTATATAGAGTTAATGATTATTCATTTAATATTTTGTATATTAGTCAATTTAAGCGACGGTTTAAATAATAAATCAGGATAAGAGTAAGAAAAGCAAACAAATATTGCTAAAATATGCCTTTTTTTTTTTTTACATTTCTTTGATTTAAAAAGTGTTTTTATCCTCTTTTTTTGTGCTTTTTATTTTTTATTGTGAGAGAGTGGTATTCAGAGATCATAATAAGCACCAATGAAGTTTGATATCATGGAGAAACAGATGAGTTTGCTGCTGTTTTTTAGCTCTCACTTTTAAGAGAATTTAACACAGATAATATTTAATATACAGTTAAAAAGTTCTTTATTACACACTTCACTTTGTAGATTATAGTAGGCATATATAGCTGTGTAGGGCTGAACCAATTAAGCGGATTAATGGTGATTAATCAATTAGTGAAATAATCTTCAGCTATTTTAGTAATCAATTAATTGTTAATTGGAGTATAGGCTCTAAAGCATGCCTTTAGCTGACACAGCAGCTATGTGTGAAATTTTTGCATTTAATATATAAAAAAAAAAAAAAGTTGCATCTGCCATTATGCTCTATCCACAACTCCTCAAATGGAAAAGTTTTAGTTTCACCTGGTTTAATTTGCAGAAATCTCTAAGGAACCTTTAGCTGTCCAATAATCAATCGGAAAAATAATCGATTTGCAAAATAATCATTATTCTATTAGCTCCAAAGCTGTGTGTAGTATGCATGTAGGGCACTTTTCTACAATTTACTTGCAGCAATATTTTACAATGAACTGTCCATCGCTGATAAAGGGTTTTAAAGCTTTATTCCAAATAAAATAAAACATACTACTAGGAATTAGTGATCATGTGACTGTAGTGAGTCCATACTTGTTTCCTCTGCGTGTCTGAAGCCACAGAGTCCCACCATAGTCTGAAGAACTCCTGCTCCACAGAAATGAACCTGCGCCCCTTCCCTTTAGACAGCTCCTCTGTCACACTGCTGTACACATTGGCTGCATAGGCGTGCATGCTCTCCTACGGCACACAAACGCACCATGAATACACAGAAAATACTGTCTGATTAATGCATGAACACACCAACCTGGATGGTGTAAACCCAGCCTACATCCATGTGGCTGTGAGGAATGACAAATGCTTGGATGATCTGATCCTGTTCTAAGGTTTGACCCGAACAGAAGCAGCAAACCAACACGATCAGGGTTAAAACGCTCATTTTTCTTCAGCGACACTTCCTCGTTGTTCTTGTTATTGTTTATGCAGAAAGCATGTGACTGGGTGCGCCTCCTTTATAGTCAGCCGGCGGATAATCCGGACAGGAGTTTAGGGGAGGAGACAACCTGCCAGAACAAACTAATTCGGATTCATTGAAAAAATGATGATTCGTGGCCTTAGCATGTTTAAATCCTATAATGTGGACTGAGTCTTAAAAACAACTTAAAGGTTACTTTCGCTAAATGGTCCCTCTAATAAAGAGCTTCTTGTAATTGGCTCCAAAGGGTCTATTTAATATAACAAAAAGCAGGAACATATAAATGTATCCAGAGTTCTCACCTAATTATATTTTTAATCATTATTGTGGAAACTCTTTTTTACAACTACTTTTTTAATGCAAATATTCACATTTCAGTGGTTTTAGTATGTGTTTCTGATATATTCCTTTTAATGCTCCTAATATTCTCTTGCCAATAACTTACTTCCAATTATTTATTTATCTTAACAATTTTACTTAGTAATTTCAAGATTGTTATTTACATTTAGGCAGTTGGAGTTGAAGTTAGAAGGTTCTGGGTTCAAAATTCCAGCCTGGGGATCTTTCTGCATGGAGTTTGCATGTTCTCCCTGAGCATGCGTGGGTCCTCTCTGGGTACTCAGGCTTCCTCCCACTGTCCAAAAACATGACTGTTAGGTTAATTGGCTTCTCTAAATTCTGTTTTTGGAGAGTGTGTGTTTGAGAATGGTTGTTTGTGTGTTAACCTGCGATGGCCTGGCGCCCATAGACTGATGGAGATAGGCACCAGCACCCCTCGCGACCCTGCGAGGGGTGCTGGTAAGCGTGACGGAAGATGGATATTTAATTTTGTTTTTGTCTTGTATTCCAATGTATTACTATCCATTCTTTTTTTAGTTTAGTATATTTATGTGTAATAAAATAGAATAGAATAGAATAGAATAGAATAGAATAGAATAGAATAGAATAGAATAGAATAGAATGGAATAGAATAGAAAATCCCTTTATTTGTGCACAATGGAAAATTTGTGGTGTTACAGCAGCAAAAGGTTATAGCAGAAGTGGTCACACAAAGTTAGACCTTAAAAAGTGTATAAAAAATAATGGAATAGTTGACAGAATTACAAAAAAACAACAAAAAATAAATAAATAAAATACAGTAAAATAAATAAATAAATAAAATACAGTACTGTACAGTGTTTTTACAATACTATGCATCTGGAGATTAAATAATCAATAAACAGCTGTGGACATGTAGTATCCCTGTTATAAGTTTTTGTTTAGTATCATGTATCACATTTCCATATCTATTTTTAATGAAAGTTTGAAAGTTATGTACTCCATGTTCACTAGAAATTTATTCAATTTTAAATGTTTTTTTTTTTTTTGTCGTTTGTTGCACTTTAATATTTAGCTAAAGAACTGAATGCATATTTATATGCATAGTGTTTCCTTTATTATGTTTTTATTTTATCTTTCTTTTTCAGATTTTAGCACTTTATGACACTTTTTTTTTACATTATTCAGCAACATTTAAGCCTATTAGTGCTATTTATGTTTTTTTTGGGAAGAACAAACCCCGCCTTTAGCGGACCCCGTGTTTCTCGCCGGAACAAGAATGGGGCGTACCCACCTCTGACGTCTCTTCCGGTACGGTGAATGTAACCTTTCCCCCCGGAAACATTCCTGAAAGTAAAGAGAGCTTCTGGAGGTTAGAGCTTCGCTTCACATGTAACAGAAAAAGATGTCTAAAAACACTAAAATAGCTCTGGTGTTTGGAGGCTTTGTAACGGCGGTGGCTGCTGCGTTTTATCCAATATTTTTCTATCCACTGACACATAAAGACGAGTACAGTAAGTAACAGAGCCAAGATTATCATTGTGACTGCTTGTTAGTGTTGGAGCTTAATGCAGTGTTGTTTTGTTCATTGGGAGTAAAATTAACATTCAATTATCATTAATCACAATTAAAGCGTTACGTTTTGATGTACAAATAACCTAAGTGTGAGGAAAACATAACTTTTAGGGGGGTTGTTAAATTGCTAAAAAAAAAAAAAAAAAAGGGTCAAGAAGAAATGTTTGTGATTATTATTTAAATAGATTGCTCTGTTTTTGCTTTATTGCTTACATACAACACCTACTGTTTGCTTAAGCTTTAGAAAGGAAATAACAGAATCAAAATCACCAACAATGTTCTAGTGCTGCTCACTAGTTTGTCAATAAAAATATATGATACTGATTGACTATTGAAGCCATATCCTGTGGTCCTCTGTTAGGAGAAGTCCAGAAGGTGAACCGGGCAGGAATCAACCAGGCGGATGTTCAGCCTGCAGGTAACAATAAAAATGCTACCTTAGCTCAGGAATTACATGCAATCACAACTGCAGACATCTACGGTGAACGTACCGGTTTAATAGTAAAAGTAATCTAATCCCAGTCATCAAATTTTAGGTGGATCAGCCGAAATGTTCAAATATGGGATTATAAACTCTTCAAAATGAATTTTTTTTTTATTTCACTTCAGTTTATTTTCATAGCACCAATTCACAACACATAACCTCAAGGCTCTTTACAGAGACATTCAACCAGATCATACAGTCAGATTGGTTCACAGTTTTCTATCTAAGAACAGCCAACTGATTGCATTGACTCATTGACTCAACAGCAATTCCTCAAACCAAGCATGCTTGTAGCGACAGTGGAGAGGAAAACCTGCTTTTAACAGGAAGGAACCTCCAGTAGAATCAGGCTCAGTGTGAGCGGCCATCTGCTGAGGCCGACTTGGGTTCAAGGAGACAGAAGCAGAGATACTACAGGAACATAAAAGCACTGATCTACAAACACTTTCTATGTTAAAACGTAACAGTAAAATGGCATCACAGTTGGCTCTCTCTAGGAAAGAAACAGTAAAACAGACAAGCTCTGAGCCTGTTTTCATATCAAAGGGATGAAAGACAGCATGTAAAGTTAGTCATAGCAAAGCTGAGAGAATAAAGGTTTAACACTGAAAAACAGGCCCAACTCTGTCATCTATAACTGAGGGTATTGATTGCAGCACCACAGCTGATATTTCCCTCCAGGATGGTGTGAAAACTAAACAGAAAAAGAGCAGATGAAACTATGATGAGAAAAAAAAAACAGAGGATAAAGTTAAAGATACTGTAGTATTGGAGAATATAGCTTTAATGATATAAAGTGGTCCCTATATCCTCCAGCAGTCTAAGCCTATAGCAGCAACTATAGAGACCTATACTATAGAGATTGGAGCTTATGAGAACCTGAGACAGGTTGTCTGCATCACAGACTATAACTGGTTCCACATGAGACCACTTAAAAAATCAATGAGAAAACAGAAAAAAACTCTTTGAACTAGATACTGATTTAAAGCAAAATAGCCAAATCAAAACACAGGTTGTTCACCCAGATCAACCTACAGCCACACCTATCTGAAACCATATATCTAAACTCAGTGGGAAACCTGTCGGAGGAGCTGATGAGAAGAAATCCTGAGAGAGAACTCTGGTGCTCGACTGCTGGTTGTTTTGCTTACTTTAGTTGTGTCCCTGCTCAGAAACCTGAATCGATTAGTTTTTTTAAACTGGGTCGACCCGCAACAATCTGCTGCGTAGCCATTGGAATCGAATGTAAACAGAGTTGTGTCGTCTTGTTAGATAAGAGGCATTTGGTGCGGTGTGTTGACATCCATACACTGTGCTAAAAGGTATCATGTGCCGTTTGCAGGTGATTTTAACCCGTGTTGCTTGCCGAGTCGTTTGACATGAGTCAACATGCATCAGTGAACTGTTCACACTGCCACTAAAAGCCGATTGTTCCTGGGTTTGAACAGGGTTTTCAGCCAGTGGGAAACTTTACAGCCTTTACTGAGAGGTACCGATGAGTTGACAGAAATAAAACTTAGCAGGTCTCAGAGGCTTTTAGACCAGGTTTCTACAAACTTTAAAACCCAAAGGTCCATTCTTCCTTGAGTTCAGTTCAGTAAAAGTCATTCAAACCCACAAATATTGCACAAAATTTCAATAAAACATGCTATTGTTATGAAATATCTGCTGATGGAAATATTTTGCCTTTTCAAACACCAGCAGTTTGTGTGTTTAGCTTTACAAATAAGAAAAATCAAAGATTTTCATAAAGATGAAACATATTTCTTTTTATAGGATATTATTTAGCGGTGGGCCATTCTCAGCGTTAACTGGCTTGGTTAGCACCAGACTCTTATCGTGCAATAAAAAAATATTGCAGTTAATCTATTCTCACACTTGGGTTGGGAGCTGGGTCTATACTAATGATGACTTTCACCTTGATATTTTAGCGTAGATGTATATCTGAGGGCGAGAAGGAATCAGTCTTCCAACCTCTGTAGGCGTACCTTGAAATGACCACGTCGAACGTGACGTGCTGACATGAAAGCAGCTTTAAACACAGCTCTAGCTGCCTCTAGCTTGTTCTCCAGGCGGCCACAGGTGACCAATCTTACAAATTACCTGCGAACTATCGTGAGGAGAATACATGATCAGCACGCCGCGGAGAAAGTTGCTAAAGATGAGAAGTTGTTCGAGGCGACGTGTGTGTCAGATTTTTGGAGACACTATATTGTTAAGGTGGGACATCTACAACTGGAAGTGGGACACGCTATTTTTGGGCAGCATAAACACAGAAACAAATGAGCAAAAAACTATTTATAACTTTGTCAAAATCTTAAGAAGACGTAATTACATCTGATTTTGCGAACATTAAAAAAAAGCAAACCTTTTCTTTTAAATTCTGGGGTAGCACACATCATCATGAATGCCTTTGGCTGAATTCAAATTAGCAATTTAATCTAGATTAACCTAGATTAATTCCAAGGTTACAGTGGGATTAATCTAAATAAAAAAAAAAAAATCTATGCCCACCAATAATGTTATTTGATGTCAAAAAACAAACATAATTTCCAAGTTAATGACAAAAAGATCTGAAAACATAATTCTGTTTCTTTTAATGTTCTATCATAACAATTAAATCAAACATTATTTAAAAAACTACCGCTTTAAGTTGTTTATTTTACTACATAAGTTGATTTTCTTTATATAATTTTAAGCTCCTATTAAGAGCCAGTGTAAAAGGTTTCAAAGAGCCACTTGTAAGACCTCCGTTTTAGACCAACAAATGTCAAAATAATCTAAAATTCTTAAATAACTAAATCTATAAACTGTTGTGGAAACTCATTTCAGTTTTGTTTTTTGTAATTTCTTCACCCACTGATGTTTTTTGTGTTTTTGTTTCCGAAGGTATGAAGATTTGGTCCGACCCGTTCAAGCCTGCAGACAAATGATGAGCAGAGACGGCCGATCCTGCACGTCGTCGTTGGTCGTCGAGGAATGCCTGATGTGTGCCTGAGTGAAATTCTTATATATTGTTTGGATTGCTTGATTTGAATGCGTTTCCACTTAAATAAAGGTAAACAATTAAAAATGTGCAAAGCTGCTGTCCTTTTGTTGTCCACAAGGAGGCGCAGCATCCCTGAGGATTGTTCTGAAAGGCACTGAAGCATGGAAGGGTTTATTTTGGGGGGGTGGAGGGGGGTATCTTTGTGTTTCTAAAAGTCTCACTTTGGTATGCAGCCTGTAAGTAATTATAATAAAATGTAAACGTTTGTTTATACATCTCCTTTCTGAGCCTCTTCTGACGTTTTATTTGGACTGAGATGATGTGGGACTCATGAAATCACTTCAGCAGAAGAAGGAGTGTAATAAGCACAATCTTTTTTTTTTTCTTCCTAAAATGGAAACCCCAGAGCAGACTTTATTCTAAGACACATCGGTTTGCATTATCGTTTCCCTGTCAGAGACCTTGGGTTACATTGGCATGTGAGCCATACTGTTGCCTGTAGGTTGAGTCAGATCTGAGATGGACCTCTTTAAAATAAAAACAATCTATGTGGTCCAGACTCTCTTTATGGGACCTCTGTTTGGGTAAAAAACTTTCTTTCCTTCTGCACTTTTGTGGTTTTTCCTAACATTAACCAGCTTCCACTTTTGGAGTTTTGTTCATCAAAGCCCTTTTTTTTTTTTAGGAAAGACAGATTAAAAAAGAACCAAGCATGTGTTTATGGTTCCTTAGAGTTGCTGCATTCTTTAAAGTCCTCCTTAAATCCTCCATGCAGCCTCTACTTTTGGGATTTCAGGACTGCTCCTGCCAGCGACGGCCGCTCTCCCTCTGAACCCCCACCAATCAACAAGCCCCTTTTGTTTATGAGAGGTTGTTATGGTTGGACGGCGTTCAGATACGAGGGAAAACTGAAGAGCCCGGCTGCTCGGAAGCGTCCAAACTAAAGGGGGTGAGGGTGGAGGAGGGAAAAAAGCAGAAATTCCTCTCATTCCCTGCTGTGTTCTCCAGATTCCTCAAGCGGCAGCTCCGTGGCCGTGCGAGTGAAGCAAGCAGAGGGGAAATCGAAGCAAACGACAGGAGGAAGAGAAGCGCATTCTTCTGGGGACGCGTCACCTCTACACAGAATAGAAAGACACTCGATCTGTGCTGCTGTGTGGCGAGGGCCCTTAGCTTCAACCCCCCTGCTCCTGTTGCAGACTCCCTCCTTAAATCTCCCCTCTAAAGCTCTAAAGGCAGGGGCACCTTCGAGTTGATGACAGTCTTTTCATAGCTCTGTGTTGTCTTGTCCTATTTATGTGCTTCGCTTCCCATTCAGTGGGACACCCATGTCTATAAAACACAGAGACGGGTCGGGGCGCACTTCAAGCCAGCGCCAACACAATATCACCACCGCAGCCTTTTTTACTCCCCGGCCATTAACGGATCACACAAATCTCTCCCTGCTATTGAGGAAGGTTTGGAAAGCGGGGACAAGTCCTTGGAGCTGTCTGCATCTCGTTAAGAAGCCGCTAATTAGCTGAGGTTTCTTCCTAATTGCCATGGGAACAAGGGTCGGCAGGGAGTCCACAGGAGCAAAGGATGGAGGATTTTAAGAAGGTTTGGGTCACTAATAAAAATATTTGCTCATTAAAACAGGGAGGAAGGATACATGTGTTGTGTCTGGAGCAAGTACTAGAGAAATTAAAGTTATTTTTAGGCAGAATTTTCTAATATATTGCTCTGAGAACCGCTTTGCATCCAGTTGACAAAACATCTGTGCACACATCAGCCCAAGATGGCTGGACTGCATCCCATCCTTTATTTACACTTCTTAGTTTTCCTCGGAAACAGCTTGTCTGATGTCCTATTAGGTAAAGGTCAGAGGATCGAGCTGGCTAAAAGATGCTGCTCACTCCCTGGTGTGTTCAGGGCTGTTGTCTAATTAAAATGGCCACTTTAATGGAAACTTTTGCTTAATTTTAGATAGTTAGAGGTGGTGGTAAAATAGGAATAAAAGCCTATAATCACATCAGAAACTAAGAAATGAAGTAAGTATGCTATACAGTATATGCTAAATTACCTGTAGCTGAGCAACTGTGGAAAATATTTGACTGAAGTTGCTCAAAAGTCATTGATTAATCAAATATCTGGTCAAATAAACAATCTTGAAGGATATATATATATATAAATATGTATGTTTTTATATATATATATACACATTACCATGTTAACATGCTTTTTAATCCTTCCTGCACATTCTTTTCAAACTAAACTTTGCTTTAAACTGTTGTGTGATTGGAAAAATATAAATTGTAATGTTAGAAATCAAAAAAAAAACATGACAGGTTAAAAACTTAAGATAAATCACAAGACAGAAGTATATGTCACAAATGAATAACTTTTATTTTAGAGTCACAGTATCTTTATACAAGATAATACTATTAATATAATGTGACTTTTCTAGAAAATCATTATACATAGTTATTTTATACAGGGTTTCCACAGTCTTACATAATTTCAGAATTCCCTGACTTTTAACTGACTCAGGATTAGTTTTCCCTGACAAAATAAATGCAGCAACAAGACAATAATAATGACAGGTCACCAATTTAACTTTTCATTAATTTTCTTTCTCTTAGACATTGGTTTTTGCAGAGTACCCCACCCCTAATCAAACTAAGACCATTCTGGATGTCTTCCAGATGATAGATTATATATTTTGCAGTTTACAATACTCTAAGCGCAAGTTATTAAGATTTATTTTATTGTGTTCTGGGGCTGTAGAATGGTACATTTGTTGGCACTCCTGATGAATTAAGTGGTTATAAAGATATTGAAAGGATTGATTGACAGTGAGTTCTTTAATTCATACAGATGAGGATCATTAGTTGTCCATTTCAAAACAGGATTTTCTGTGCACCTCACCTTCAAATGTCATAATTCTCACTGAATCTCTGTCCTTACCAATATTTGCTTCCTTACCAATATTCTCTGTTACTTTTATATAATCTTCTCATAGCCTTTAATTAAACTTTTTTAAACAAGCATTAAGAGCCCCCACCATTTGACTTAACCCCCTTACTTCACTAAATGTTACCAAACATACCTCTTAAATAACAACAGCAGATTCTCTATAGACTAAACTTTGACAGAAAAAAAGCCCAGTGGGGGTTTCCTCTCACAAAGGGTCCAGGTTTGACGTTCCAAACATATGGCCTTGTAGAATTATTTACCGGAGTGCCATCCGCATTCTCGGATCTTAGTGGCTGTGGAAACAGATGGTTACTTTGAGAAAGCTGAGAGCTGAACCCCACCTTTGGTACTGCCTGGCGTTAAAATCATCTTTTAGAGGAATCACAAGGGGACTTAAATAATTGTTTGATATCTAACTTAACTCCCAACATTGCATCTTTGCATTTTATTCATATTTTGCCTGTAGCAGAGTCCCTTTGGAAACATCTAATTATGTTACAATCACAGACTTAACTACTCAGTCTACTGAGAGGGGTTTGACTGCAGACCTACACTGTCAGGACCCTGGCTCCACTGCCAGTACCCTGGCTCCACTGCCAGTACCCTGGCTCCAAATCAGTACCCTGGCTGCACTGTCAGTACCCTGGCTGCACTGTCAGGCCCAGAAGCTGCACTGTAAGTACCCTGGCTGCACTGTCAGGCCCAG